CACCAGGTCTTACAGGAAAGTACTTGCTTCATCAGGTCTTACAGGATGGGAAGCTTAAGCCCCTGTCCTCCCTGACAACCCTAGACCCTCTTTTATGGATACCTGGCGATATGGTCAATTAGCACATTTCGTGCAACAACTCCCCGGTCCCCTAAGGTCCACAGAGGACCTAAACCCGTTGGAACTGCTTTTTCCTACGGGTTCCATACCCGATAAATGTATATCCTCCCTTTACACAGCATTATCGTGCATGGATGCCACACTTTCCTCGCCTTATTTGACGCACTGGGAGAGGGCGTTGGACAGTCCGTTGACTGACTCGCGTAGATCCCGCATATTGGCCTTCTCCAGGGGGGTGTCCAGATCCTCACACATCCAGGAACTCCACTACAAGTCGTTGGTATTACACACCACAGAGAATGCACAAGATTGACCCTTCGGTGTCTCCTCTGTGTTGGCGGGAATGCGGTGGCCTCACATGCACACATATGGTGGCAGTGTCCAAAAATAAGACCCTATTGGCAGGAGGTCACCTCGGAAATGTCCAGAATTCAGGGAACTTCAGTGCCACTTGACCCTTGGGTAATGCTGTTGCATGGCTCTGAAGGCTCAGTGGGCAGCTATACCGTTCTATTACACCACATTTACTTAATGCTGCTAAAGCTTTAATACCAGCCAAATGGAAAAATACTGTACCTCTGCCCCCTCCTTGTTGGAATGGCTAGATAGGGTGGAACAGACGTATAGCATGGAAGAACTCACCCTTACCGGATTAGACCAAAAGGACCGCCTCTCCAAATCCTGGGCTTGTTGGCTCGCTTATAAAATGACTGCCTCTTATCTTGCAGTGAGGACATTAAAATGCGGAATTGCTATATTCTTTAATATGATATAAGAAATGATCCTACCCCCCCTCCCTCTCATCAGAAGCGGGGATGAAGATAACAATTTTAGTGTTCCAGCCTCACTGAGCGAGTGGGAGGTGTATTTATGATAAAGTCACTAAAAGTGAAGTTATCACAGTTTCCTATGTCTCTTGGCCACTCTGGTAGTGAGATCTGTGTTCTTGTCAGATGTGGCAAAATCAGGAGGTATGGTTGGGAAATCTTGTTCATAGCTCCCCAAATAATATAAGAACTTGTGGCTGACTAAGTCAACTAGAAACTCCCTATAACTGAAACATCACTTATGGATGCTTTGACCCATATACCACCACTGCTGTTACTACCAGTTGTGGGTAATATATATTTAAATGTTTCTTAACAGCTTCATATTAATTCATATTATTTAACAGTTCAAATGTAATTTTGAGGGTTTAAATGCAGAAATATAACCGTATCATAAAAAGGTAGCCATTACCACCATTAAAAAGAGAGAAAAAGACATATCAGTCTATCGAGTATGCCCCGTTTTGGATTTTCATGTTTCCTTTTTTTTTTTCTAACCTTCTATGTTTGTCCCAAGCATGTTTATATTAATTTACTGATAGAAACATAGAAGAATTCAAGTTCTCAATTATAACAAACATTGGACCACTGGAGCAATGCTGTATGACTTTTGTTTACTACATTTCTGCTATATCAATTAAACTGCATGCATTTTGGAATTGGAAGGCAGTGCAGCCTTAAAGTAGAACTCCAAGCAGAGGAATAACTCTCAGTTCAATTACCGGTATGTGTTCATGAAGAAAAAAAAATTTAGACAAATATAATACATTCTAAAAGTATAATTGCCTGAATTTAATGATTTACATTATTGTTCTCTGATCCTCTGCACAACAGGCTAAGAGTGAGAGGATAAGTACTGTCAGACAATCCTTTTCTATTGCAATGCACAGAACTAACAATCTAATATGATTTCTGGCATTGGAGGCTGGTTGTGGAAGTCTTTAGACAGCTTACAGGAGGAGTCTACAGGCAAAATCTCAGTTATATGGTGGTGCATTTTGATCTGTAGTGTAGAAGGGTTGCGTGGATCACAACTGTGACTGAACAGAATTACAAACATTAAAGCAGTTAATACATATTTTCACATTTATGTTGAAATTTTAGCTGGTTGGCTGATAACTGTTTATTTAGCTGGCTGGAGTTCGACTATAAGTCAAACTATAAAATACATAAGGAGACGTTCTGTTGAACATAATTCTAATTAAATATAACAGAAGCATGTTCTTGTGTTCATGCAGGTATCATTGTTCTGAAAGGTCTCTATAGTGTAGTTTAACTGCCAGCCAAATGTTTTTTGTTTTCACAAACTGTAATAGTGTCAGCTGCAGACAAAAAAGAAGGTGATGCATGGCATAAAGTCCTTCTGACATTGTAAAAATGTCCTACACTAAACTGTATGCAACTTTAGAAATAATGTCACTTATAATGAGAAATAAAGGCTAATAAAATGACCCTGCAGTACAGCAAGTAACACTTTCATACTGTAAGCAGTTAGAAGATGGCCAACACATACTACTTAACCCTTTCTTCTTAAAGGAGAACTATGAGATGAGTGATTTCCACTCACCTCATAGTTATAAGCCGACATATGTAGCATAATTGACCTCTCAATAATACTTGCCATTTAATTGAAATAAAATAAGTTGCATGATATATTTAAACACAAAACATTAAAGTGGGGATAGTTGGTGACCTTTCCCCAGCAGCTGGCATTTAGCTAAAAAACAAACAATTTGTGGAATATATTTAACTTTTCATTTATTAATATAGTGACAAGGTTATAGACTTTGCACCAGTAGTTGGTATAGGTTTTGGCCATACAAACTTTAGGTGTGAAATTTATACCCCAAGTAAAACATATTAAGCATTGCTATTTTATTAGGTCAAGCCCAGTAGTTAGCATTTAGCATAAATCAGAAGCACTACTGTATATGGCATACTATATAACCATAATACTTTAAAGCTGAAGTTTTATCTGCTTATATTTTTCCTTCAATGCTTCCTCTCCCTACTCCAACCAAACCCCCAACACCACCACCACCACCATGCTAATACATTTTTTTTTAAAGAAAACCTTTTCATTTTAGATTTAGCTATGTCATCACAGGGTCTTTGTGAATCTCTGTGCATTGCAGTTAGAAGCTAGATCATAGATGATTGGAGAGGCCGGCAGAGTGCTGTACAGAACTACCTGAAATCATTACAGCACCCTGCATCACTAGAGCCCTCAGCCCTGATTTACGCAGTGGGAAGAGTTGTGCAAATTTTAAAAAATGCCTTAATAGGTGGATGTCACTCTGGAAGACAAAAGTCTTGCGATGGTTGTAAGGTGTGTGCCCAGCCTTAGGAAGGCTGCATTGCATGTAGACCACCCTAGGTTACACCCACATGTGATGCTAAACCTCCATAATTAGAAGAACTGAAATGTAATGAATAAAATGGGGGTCAGGGAATGTAAGGCTGGGTAATAAAGGAGGAGATGATTTCAGCCAGCAAATTAAGTGGGGGGTATCTCGGATTTGCTGCATAATAGGCAATTTCAGTACAGGAGAGGAGATTGTGCAACTATAGAAAATGTAAGGTAAGGCTGGAGCTCATTAGGGAAGGGTGACTTCCTTTTATTACACTCCTAACTTATCATTGTGACTCCACTGAATGCATGCCATCTGGCCATGGTGCCTCCTGATTACAGTCTGTGTCTCTATGGCCCTGGTGCCCAATCTGTGGTCCGGGGGCTGGGCACATGCAGGCCTTTGGCAATCCATGTAAGATCCCTGCAGACACTATTCTATGTTTTGGTGCTTTCTCAGCCAGTGGAGAAAAAATATTAATTAGACTGGCTTCTGGCAGATAAATAAAAAAAGAAAAACAAATGTATTTCACAGTATCTTACTGTTTTCTGTGCTGTCCATCTTGCTTTATGGTTTTTCTGTTCTGATCTTATATAAATGATCTTGCAGAGAGAAATATCAAATGTGGCACAAGTTATTTTTAAAGGGTCTGTAGGGAGAATATAGGTAGGAGAATTGATTTGAACAGGGGCTGTGATAGCAATGATTTCTCGCAATTTCATGTAATGTGTCCCCAATCTCCTGAAGCATGTCTCCAGCCTTCAAACATACCTATATCATGTTTGCAATCTCTGACCATCTCTTGTAGCTTGTCTGCTGTCTTTGACCATCTCTTTCAGTATGCCTGTAGTCACTGCCCATGTCCTATTACATGTCTTTAGCTTTCTGTAGCATTACATTTACTGATTACGTGCAGCCGTTTGGTAATTTCAGAGATCGCACATTGCCTACATTGTTTTTGTTCCCTGCTACATGTCACCATTCACTACCCTATTTACCCTCACAGAGACCATGCACCAGTACAAATAAATCAAATACCAAGTCACATCTGTTAATATGTTAAGCATCTTCTTTGGAGTCTCATTCCTTTACAGTAATGCCTAGAAAATCAGAAGTGCAAAAGGCAATGCCTTCATTATCCTGCATACCTTAACTCTGTAAAGTCTCTGCATACAGAGATGGATGCCATTTGTCTTTTTTACCAATTGCAACAGTATGTGCTTCACTAGGCAGCCTGTTCTCTGCATGAAAACAGAACTGTCAGAAGCTTCCTGAAGTATAGGGAAAATTAGCAGGTCTTCCCAGATGCCAAACACTTCATGGTGCAGTGAAGGTGGTTTAGACTGTACAGGTCAGATCCAATTTTATGGGCCTAGGAAAAGCTGCATCCCATCCACTAACAATCATTTTCCCAGTGTTCTGTTTATAATAATGTTAAAGCATTATTCACCTTTTCCTAGTATTAAACCTTTGTAAAGTGTAATATCTGATTCTTTATTTTTAAAAATATGAGGTTATTTGGCTGCAGCTGGCATTTAGCCAAAGTCAAACCATCCTCATTGCATCAGTTAACCCTTTAGTTACCATTACAGTTTGGAATTTGTTTCTTTGCTTTAGTTGCTGCCATGTAGGTGAAACCAGATACATGTATAGGATGATATTTAACCTTTTATTTTGCATTGCAATAGATAGGGTTGCTCACCTTGCTCCAGAGGTTGGCATTTAGCCGTCGTGGTTTTCATCTTAAGGGCCTCTCTTACAGACATGTCACAGCAGGAACCTTTGTTGGTATCTTGATCACTGTCAGCTTGATCACTGTCTCCATGACCACTGTCCCTTAGGCTTGCTCTTTCTGGGTCTTTGAAGGTTGAGCTGCTGATTTATTATAAAGAAATAAAGTAAATTCACTTTAAGTGTCACACAATGAGAAAGTATGACCATCCATAGCAGAGTAAATTGTAATATATAGACCATTATTTTAACTGTCTTACCTTTGAACAAATTGCTGTCTGCTTCCCATGTAATTGGGCTCAGCAGGGAAATTGTCTGTCTGTAAAGAGAGAAAAGAGAAAAATAAAGATATATAAATAAACAAAGTATATGTGCATATGAATGCACACTGGACAGACATTTTGCCAAGATACAGGGTTTCTTGCCATATAAATTATTAAATACACTTTTACACTTGTACATTTTGATTACAGCCAAGAACAGAACAGAACATTGCAGAAAATTAAATTAATCTTGTTTACACATTACCTGTTAAAATAAACATTAAAACATTTCCCCTAGTCAGATATAGAGAAGAATTATTTATGTGTTTTCATTAGTTGGCTATGATGATTGAATATTTAAGGGAATAGAGAGGGAAAAAAAGCCCACATTATCTTGTTGCCTGTCTACGAAAAGTAAATAATTTAACATTGTTTGTTTTTATTAATTCCAGTATATCATTTCCTGAGATTCTGGCATAAACCCCTTCTCTAATATAAATTTGGGAAACAAAACCTAAATGGTATGAAAATGGAGAGATAAGCCCTATACACAATCTCTTGTGGGCAATATTTTTGAATTTGAACAAAAGCAAGCATTGCATGTATAGACAATTTAATCTTCATAATTAAGTCTCATCCATATTAATAGTTGTTGCTGTGTAACATGACTGCATGCAAACAATAATATTAATGATTACTGTTGCCAAGTGCAAGGGGAAAATGTAATTTAATGGTTCCGTTAAGTATTTTTAGCACAGCTAGTTTACAAACCAGTGATCTAATGGTGTTTACTGAATTCAAATTGTATGGATCGCTGCCAATTACAATCTGAGTTCTCTTTGTATAAATCACGGAAGCTTCAAAAGGCATAAACAATAGAACGCTAGCAAACAAAATAAGATGATGGGAAAAAGCAACGGCATCAACACTGCACATCAGTACAGGCTACATCCCTTGCAGCTGACATATTGACAAACGCTTGACTGTTCCATATATCATGCCATGGCATGATGCACCAACAACAATTTTTTTCTTGTAAAAAAACACTGCTTAAGTACTGCTAAAAAACACTTAACTAATGAAGCATAGAGCCTAAGGTAATGTTTAATGCTTCACAGCAAGTGTTTACATAAATGCCTGATCTTAAAAATTACCCTCTTTTCGAGGAGTTAATGTTGTAATCTTGCTGGTGGCCCTGTGTCATTAAAGAGGGTTTCAATAATGAAGATCTAATGATGTCATTTGTAAGACTGTACGAGATGTAAGACGTTTGGGTGTACTCTGATAATTAATCTAATATTTCGCTGCTTGATTGCGTTAGCCTTATCCATATCATCTGAAAAACATCTTTCAAATTTAAATGTTTCAAGAAGGCCTATTTTTTTTCTACTTTCATCTTCTATGCAAAAACTTCCCAATTAAAAAGTTAAAGTAAAAATAGATTTAGAAAAAGTTAATGAATAAAAACAACAGAACATGATAAGGATTCTTTGTAGCGGTTAAAATTAGGCAGAAAAAAAAATCCTATATGGAATGCTGCTTTCAAACAGCAAACATCACCAGTTTGTTCACTGAGATTTTGCTTACAGAATTTAACTTTTAAAAACTTTAAAAAAACTTAACTTAAAATGTACCTTTTTACATTTTTACTCAAGAAATGTAAAAATGTATTCCTGAATATACCTATCTCACGTGGCCCATGCACACACGTAGCCCATACACATACATAGTTACATAGTATTTGGGGTTGAATAAAGACATACGTCCATCAAGTCCAACCCATATAGGTCCACGCATCATCTCATTCTTAGGAATACTTGTATCCCTGAATATTACGGTCCCTCAGGAAATCGTCCAAAAGTTTCTTGAACAATTCTACACTCTTAGCTGAAATCACTGCCGGTGGCAGTGAGTTCCAGACCCTAACCGCTCTTACTGTGAAGAACCCCCTTCGCCCCTTGTGCTTGAATTTTTTTCCCACCAACTTTAGGTGGTGGCCTCTAGTCTTTGTAATGGAGTTAATCTTAAAGAGTTTGTTGCCAATGTTGCTGTCACCATTGAACATCTTGTACATGAAAATCATATCCCCCCTTAATCTCCTTACTTCTAGCGTGAACATGTTTAAGTTCAGTAGCCTCGTCTCATAGCTCTGGTCCTCCATTCCCCTAATTAGTTTGGTTGCCCTCCGCTGGACTCTCTCCAGTTCAAGGACATCCCTTCTCAGTACCGGCGACAAAAACTGGACCGCGTACTCCAGGTGTGGCCGAACCAGCAATCTATACAGTGCTAACATTCAGTTTGTGGTCTACAATGACCCCCAAATATTTTTCTATTTCTGACTTCCCAAGCGCGATACCCATGATGGTATAGCCCATTTGTTTATTTTTATTTCCAAAGTGCTCCCAAGCTTTTCTAATACCCTCCCTATTTTTTGTATCGTCTGCAAACACAGAAACAAAGCTATTTATGCCCTCCCCGATATCATTAATAAATAGGTTGAACAGTATGGGACCCAGCACAGATCCTTGAGGCACACCGCTCATTACACTAGCCCAGTCTGAAAAGGTGCCATTTACAGATACTCTCTGGACACGTTCCCGTAGCCAGTTCTCTATCCAGGTACACACCACCTCATCTATGCCCATAGCCTTCAGCTTGTGAAGTAAGTGCTTGTGTGGTACCGTATCAAATGCCTTTTTAGAAATCCAGATATACCACATCTACCGGATTCCCTCCATCCATATCTCTACTTACCCCCTCATAAAAAGTTAGCAAGTTAGTCAGGCAGGAATGGTCTTTCCTGAACCCGTGCTGATTGTCATTAACTATGCCGTTATCCTTAACAAATTTTACCAAATAGTCCTTAATCATACCTTCTAACAGTTTACAAACTACCGATGTTAGACTGACCGGCCTATAGTTCCCCGGTTGGCATCTAGCCCCCTTTTTGAATATTGGAACTACCGTAGCCCTCCACCAATCACATGGTACTCTACCAGTCACTAAGGATTCCTTAAAAATTAGGTATAATGGTCTTGTTATAACCTGGCTTAGTTCCCTAAGTACCTTGGGGTGCAGGTTATCTGGTCCCATTGCTTTATTTGCATTAAGCATTTTTTGTTTACCATGCCAGCATTGACATGCAACTACAACTGATGGCAGTCAGAGAATTCCTCTTCTCCCTAAGGCCAGTCTATTACAGTTGTATGTTATACTTTACGCTGGCAACATGGCCAAACTCTACCGTGTCATTGAATTACACTGTGGAGTTGATTTACTAAAGGAATAGTGACCTAGCAAAACGAATCATGTGAAGCTGTGTTTACTTTAATCATCCAATTGCATAATAGCAAAAATCCATATTTTTACATTTCTCCTGCGCATAATTGGGTACTAAAAAAAAAATTATATTGTGCACTAACCTAAGTAAACATTCACTTTGGCAAGAAAACAGTCTCTACTCTTCTAGAAAATCAACTTCAACTTTAATGCTTTTCCTGAAGAGGTAATAGGGTTGATGAACAGACACACACACACACAAAAAAAACTGAACAATGTTCTTTGTTGTATTGACTCTTTGGCCACAAGGAAAAATGTATCATAACCTACAAAATGCTGAGCTCTCTGGGACCTGTGAAGCTGTAAGCAATGTATAACTTATTTATTTCTATAGGACATTTAACTGTGATATGGATAAATCTACAGTATAATTTAACTCTGGTCATATCCCAGGATTAGTTTTGCTGAAATAAGGCATTGACTATGATTGGCATTATTGGTATTTCAAAACAACGAACTTTGAAAGCTCAGCTATTTATTGATCTTAATACACCATACCATCCTTTTTTCAGTATCTGCCCCTATAGCAATTGTTTCTTTAACTCAGTATAGATCCCGTTACATAGCATTAGTTGAGGATAGAACCTTGTTAACAATTGATAAGACCAAGGAAACGATGTACCACTCACCCTAAAACATGAGTTCTGTATAAATATTTCAGGAGTTTATTAAACACAGCACTAATACAGATAAGACAGTAGCAGATAGTTACAGTTTCCTTTCCTACAATGTAATTCTCGGAAACTTGCTGGTGATATATGGTAGGAGCCATTATTTCTGTTTTTTCCACAGGACCATAAAAATGTGGTAAACTTTAGAAAGCAGCAAATAAATATTTCCATTAGTTTATTTAGTACTGTATTGTGGCCAAGTCATTGTATGTTATACTTAACTGAGGTGAAAAAAACATTGAGAGAAAATTTCTCTATAAGAAATTATTGGAACCAAAACTGAAGCGCAAATCTGACACCCCTTAGAACAGACTGGGAAGGATCTAACTGAGGGGTCCTACGTTTAAACATCAGTAGTGTACAGTAGATAAAGATTAAAAACCAGCATGTTTTAGAGAAATTTTCTGTGAGTAAGCAAACTGGCAACTGTGAATCATTTGTAGCATAACCCAAATTGCCATTTGATTCAAAGCGTTTTTCCAGAGATATTTGGTACAAGTTGTCCTTTAACCCACCTGCAAAAACACCAAATTAGGTAATCAACATTTACACAGGCTAAGTGGCTTGAAAACTGAAACCATCCAAATGGCAAATCACCGAATTGATTTAATAATATGTGATAGCCTTATATTTGTCTGGTATTATAGATGTAAAACGTTATTACCATGTAAAGTTTCTGGTGTGCATAAGGGATACATTTATAGTATATTAATTTAACATTAAACTAAATGTATATGTAATTTGCTTCAACATATATTTATTTTTTGTAGTATTAGGCCTCATCCACACTGCCGCGCATATATGCGCGTATAGTACCATAGCATATGCAAATAAATGGCTCCATACACATAGCTACGTATGGAGCCGTATATTTGCGTAGCGTAAAGCCTCATTCACACACAACGCAAGAGCAAAATTGTATATTGCGTATATATGCACATATACACGAGTATATGCGTGCACTATATGCAATCCCAGAATGCATCATTCGTACTAGAAATGCTAATTAACTGTACGCATTTACGTGCGTATATACGTGCAAACAC